TGGAGACGGGAACACAGCTCCCCGCAGGGCTGGTAGAGAAGCAGGGTCCCTTGGCAGGGAGCACAGCAGGGGCAGCAGAGGTGGGTACATGAAGGGGTGTGTGAGTCTGTCCATGCTCTTGGTGTGGTCCACACTCCAGCTAGGCTCAGTAGCAATACGGGGCATCAACTCCCCCCCTCCTCAACCCTGCCAACTACCCTCACTGCAGCTAAAGTCCCCTGTCCAGAAAAACACAGCTGCCTGCTTACTAAGAACCAGCTGGGGCTGCACCACCTGCTCCCTGGGCTGCACAAGTTCACAGAGCAACCCCCTGCCCCGGTACCCCACACCTGGTGGAGCATGTGTGTGGTGTGAGCATGCGTGCAGTGTGCAGTTGTGTCTATGTGCAGTATGAGGAACATGTGAATGCATGCAAAGTGGTCTGTGGCGATGTATGTGTGTGATGTGTGCCACGTTTCTGGTGTGTAGACATGTGGTGTTTGTGTGTATGACAGGTTTTATGCATTGTGCTTTGGTGTATGTGTGTGTGCAGGTGTATGTATGATGTGGAATATGTGGTGTGCTAGGTGTGCACATATGGTCTGTGGTGTGCGTGTCTCTGGTATGTAGGGATATGTGGCTACATGGCATAAGTGTATGTGTGGTATATGCTGTGTGGGTGTGTGTGAGGTGACATGTGCTAAGTGTGTGCAGGTGGTGTGTATGTGTGTCTGTGTTTAATGGTAGAAAGAGACTCTCAGACTGAGTCCCCCTACTGTCACCCAAAGCTGGCCCCACAGAGCACAGGACCATGCCCCCTCCCTTTGTCCAAAGCAACAAGACCTTTGGTGAAAGCAGCCCAGCCGCCAAGTGCTTCAGCAGCAGGGGATAGGGTGTGAACAAGAGGCTATTCCTGTGCGCTGCTCCAGGATGACCCAGCCTTGGCCAGGAGTCTAGAGAGAGATCTTCAGATAGGCACCAAGAAGCCCAGCCAGGGAGGGAGGACAATATTAGCCATCCCTGCCATACCAATACATGATTTTTAAATATTTCTTTTCTTTATTTCAAAGGAAGTGTAAAAGAAAGGGATCAAGAGAGGGAGGGAGTGGGGGAGAGAGAGAGTGTGAGATGTTCCATTTACTGAGTCACTCCCCAAATGGCTGCAAGGTTGGGCTGGGCCAGATTGGAGCCAGGACACTATCCCAGTCCCTGACATTGGTATCAGGGGCCCAAGCACTTGGGCCATCTTCTGCTGCTTTCCCAGGTGCACTAGCAGGGACCAGATTAGAAGTGAGGCATCTGGGACTTGAACTGGTGCTCATATGAGATGCCAGCATCACAGGCAGCAACTTAACCCATGGGCCCCACAGACCCTCTGTCTTTTAAAATGAATCCCATGACCTCAACGGGGGCAGTCATCAAAGGGCCCAAATGCCCCACTCAGTCAGAAGAGACACAGTAATGCCAATTAAGGTCTCAGGCTGTCAAAAACATCAAGTTATTAATCTCCTGGTGGCAAATGTGAAGCAGGCCCTGCTTACACAGCCAATTGGGCATGCTCTAAATTAGTGTTCGCAGGTAATTGATTTGGCTGCCAACCCGTGCCAGCCTGCTACAAGCTGGTTATGCTCCTCGCGTTAAATAATATGAGGCGATAAAATGGACTGCTTGCTTGGGCCTGAACCGGGATGCTGTCCGAGCCCAATGTACTCACACGTGACCTGCCTGTTGGTTTAGCACAATTTTACTACACCTCAATGGTGGAAAATGATTTTCACTTCCTCAGCAACCTCACCCACAAGCACAGGGAGGGGGAAATGGTGCCTGCGCAAACACTATCCGCTTGCTGCTTCTTTTTTTTTTAAACACTGCCTTCCAGATTTTACAAGTTCTTGACAGCAAAGCTACACTGTGAGATGAAGCTTGGCCTCCTGGCCAGTTTCTGACAGCCTGCAGCCCTGCCATGGGACATCAGGCACTTCATGTGCAAGGTCCCCATGGGAGGCTAGGCTGGCCAGGTGCCCGATGCATGATTCGGCAGATTTCAGGGATCCCAGCTGGGCTTGCTGTGTTTGCTCACTTTCTGCTCCACCTGGCTGCCTGGCTGCCCCTGACCTTCCTGGGCAGTCATCCAGGGGTTCACAGGGTCTCCTGAGCCACTAACAGGTGCTCTGGCAGATTCGTATTTCTGTAGTGACTTAAGGAAATTTCAGAAATCCCCAGTGGCGTAGGGAACAGCAGAAAAGCTTAGGACCTTTCTCCTCCAGTCCATGTCCATCCTTCTAATGACCCCAGGCAGTTCTGGGCTCTCAGATGCTATCCCAACAATGAGACACAGCCTTCTAGGACACAGGACACAAGACAACCCGAGTAGTGGTAGGCTGAGAAGAGTCAGATGTCCCCAGGAGCCAGGGGACGCTCTTGAGTCCAGCTAGGGACACTTCCAGATGGATGACACACCCTGGACAACCTTCTTCAGGCAGTGGTGACACCCCTGGGACAGACTCCAACTCTTTTGTCGTCTGTCCATTTTCTACAGAGCAGTTTCCCAGTCCCAACCCCACCTGCCCAGCCCAATGTTCTTAGACACCCAAATGGCACATGGCGTCCGTGGGTCTGATGGCAGACGCTGCCTCTATCAGCAGCACCCATGAGCAGCTACGGGTGGGCGTGGAACACAGCAGGAGTACAATGATGCAAACACCTGGCCCAGCCCGCTGAATTGACAGCAGTCAGCACCCTCTGCAGAGCTGCTGCTCGACAGGAGCCCTTGGCCAAGGCCTCCAACTTCAGGCTGCCTGGTACATAGGGAAGGCAGACAGCAGTGGGGCCAGCCTGTGCATGGTAGTATAGGTGGAAGGCTTAGCAGTCTGTAGGGCAAAAAGGGAGCTCTCCCCAGAGCTGAGCCTTGGCCAAATGCAGCACGGAGACAGTGCAGGAATGCAAACTCCAACACAGCAACTTTTACAATAAGATATCTTTCCAGCAGTACAGACTAGGCAGGGGTGACCTGAAGGGATCACAGTAACACAGTCAATCCTTGGGGACCAGGGAGGGACTCGCGGCTCCAGGACACCCCTGAGGACAACAGAATCCAAGGACGCTCAAGTGCTTTCTGTAATGTTTGCATAAAACCTCCGCACCATCTCCGGTATACTTTAAATCATCTCCAGATTGCTTGTAATACCCAACACAACGTGAATGCTGTACAAATAGGTGCTACACTGTACTGCAGCGGGAATAAGGACAAGGGAAAAACGTCCATTCGGGTGGTGACAACGTGACTTTTCTAAGTGGAGTATTTCTAATCTGCGATGGGTTGGATGTGCAGGAGTGGGAGCCACAGATATGGAGGCCCAAGGGCACCATCAGCTTGGTAAATGCGATGCAATATACACATGGTGACCATAGGAAGGGAAGAAAAACTCTGAGACACCTACAAAGTGTTTACCAGTGAAATGACTGAGATTCTGAGATCCAACTTTAAAGTATTCCAGCAAGACAAATGAGCGCAATTAAACAAAACGCTGATGGGGACTTTGGGGTTCATTGTACTATTCTACTCCATTTGAAATTTCCCTTTTAAATTAAAAACAAAACGTCTTCCATTACCCGGGCTGGAGGCTGAGAGCTGGGGAGGAAGCATTCTGGGACCCATGCAGCTCCATGAAGCCTCACCAGCAGGAGCAGGGTTGTGCTCTGGGATGCCAGGGATGGATGGCTCAGCGTCCTCCCAGGCACAGGCCACCAGCCTGCAGTGGATGCATGGCAGGGCTCCGCGCCACGCTGAGCTCATCCTGCTCTTGTTTCTTGGTTATTTTTATTTTCAGGCCTAACTCTGGCCCAACGATGCGTAGACAGTTTTTAGGGCAGTGGCCACCTAAGGGAGCCACTGCCTAGCCCGCCTCCTGGGGGTAGCCCCCACAGTGCTTTTCCTGCGCTGGAGGCTCTGAGGGCAGAGGGCTGGGGGAGACCACAGACACTGCTCTGCCGTGAGGGTCCAGAGCCCTGAACACTCTGCCGTGTTGTACTCTCCGAGGTGAACCTTGGCTGTCCACCCTCTGTTGGGAGAACCGAACACTAGGCAAGAGTTTTCACCTTCCCCTTTCAGGGTCTACCCTGTCCAGGTTGCACCTGGAAAAGCACATGGGGCCCAAAGCCATGGTAATGGTGAAAGAAAGGGTCCACGCTGCCCCTTGCAGACCCTAACTGCCCCTTGGCCCTGTACCCTGTGCTAACACAACATAGGTGGACCAGAGGAGTTGGTGGTGCAATATGCAGCTGGGGTTTTGCCCTGGGCAGCCTCAGGTGAACTTGGGCCCTACAAGGTGCAATGGCAGACAACTTGCAAGGCCAGGTGGCCTAGGGGAGGCCAGGGTGGGGTATACACAGTGGCAGCATTTTCAGTGTCCCCTTTCTAGAGCTTGCTGACAGGACAGTGGCTGGTGGGAGACCCTGGATTGTGGGTGGGAAGGAAGACGTAGGTGGTCTGGACCTGACCCCAGTGGCTCCCTGCTGGCCCCCAGGTAGCAGTGTGCCAGCCCCTGGGACCTAGAGCAGGGCTGGGCAGCCCCAGTAGACACCCTGGGTGAACTGCTCACTACAGGCCTAACCGGAGCCCTCCAGAGCACTTTAAGAGTCATTTAAACATTCTTCGACCCAGCACTCTACACACAGCAGACATAATAGCAGTGTTTACACACAGACAACAAGCTGCTTCACTGGCAGCCTTCACACACACAATAGCCGCTATTTGGTCAAGTTCACTGCAAACTACAGAAGTCCAAGAGTGGAGTGCTGGGCACTAAACCACCTCGGAAAGTAATCAGAGGCCATTACCACCCAACACTCGGTCAAGGGCTGCTGGCGGGAGAAAAACCAGTCCAGCCCACCATCCCGAGCGCTGCTCGCCGTCCCCATGGCGGCCGCAGCAACTCATCTGTTACTTGCTTGCAGAATATAAATCATTTTTTGAAATTATTATTTTTATTTCCATCTTTACCAAGAGAGACACGGCTTACCTTTCCATCTCATATTCTTTCATTCCCACTTTGACAGCCTTCATGACCTAAAGGAAGGACAGTAAGCAAAGCCATTTGTGTTAAGCAGATAAGTAACATGGTATTATGAATAACGCAGGGCTGCTTCAAACAAGCCCCTTCTCTACAGAAGGGAAGGAACAACAGGTGCGCCTGGTCACGTGAATGGGCGACAAACTGGAACTTTCTAAGGCTCCTAGAGCCATTCTGTTTATTTAAACCACCGTGGAGCATTTTCATTTTTGAAAGCAGGCAAATGTTGAGTGCCAAGCTACAGGGCAGAGGATAGCCATACTGACTACCACTAAGCACTTGGCTTTGCTTTACTGTTCATAAAACAGAGAATGCTGCGGCAGGCATCTAGCTTGGTAGTTAAGACAGAGGCCTGCAAACCACTCGACAGTTCCCTGGGTTTGATATGTCAGCTCCTGACTCAGCTTCCTGCTAACACAGACCCTGGGGGGCAGCAGGGTGGGCTCAACCATGATTCAATTTCTGATCATCCACATGAGAGACCTGGATGGAGTTCCTAGCTCCCAGGTATGGCTATGGACCAGTCCTGTCATGGGAGCACTCTCTTTTGAAAGGCACCATTTTACATAAAGGAAAAACTGGTCTGTATAGATGACGTTGCCCATCAGTCACCCTGCCTTGTAACATGACTGTCTCATGACAGACACTGGGCTATCCCAGCCACGCTGGGTGTCCCTCAAGACACACACACACACACACACACACACACACACACACACACACACACACACACACACACACACAGAGCCTCAGTAGGGTGGGGACGAGAGCAGGGCTTCGCCATCTCTGTCCCGAGTCCACCAGGACATAGTAAAGAGGGATCGTCATGCAAACGTCCTCCCTTTCAAGCAGCCCTTGGGGACTAGGGGTCCCCACACCTCTCATACATGCAGAACAAGCAATGATGCCCACCCAACCAAGCAGGCAGCCACCTCACCTCCCGGTGAGCCTCGCTGGAGATCCGATTGGTGTAGCGCAGGACCTCTAGCTCCATGTCGGTCTTGAACACTCGACTTCAGAGAGGGAAGAGAAGGTGGCAATTTGGTGACTTCCAGCACGGCTGACCAGATGATCCCTCCAGAAAGCTCTTGGGGCCCAACACACCCAGTATGGCCTGGGTAGAGCACTGTGCCAAGCCTGCCAGGAGCTGTACAGGCCGGGAGCGGGGAGCACCCCCCACCCCAGGGAGAATCAGCTGCAATAAGTAGTACAGAAGACAGCCCCTGGATATGTGTGGGTTGCGGTAGAGGACACAGCAGCTGTCCATCCCACTTGCAGACCAGCCATGGGCACACTGGCTATTTCCTGCCATAGGATGGTACCACTTGGTCTCCCTTACTCCCAGCCTGACTCACAGGGCAGTATGGAACACCATGTGACACAGGCCACTGCCTGAGACGGGCCAGGGCGGGGGGGTGTGCAGGCCAATGAGTGGTAGGAGCTGGTTGCGGGCAGAGAAGCAGGAGACCTGGACAGATGAGCAGGGCAGAGCAGTCAGGAAAGAGAGTGCAGACATGCGTGGGGATCAATGAGACTCACAGGTTAGGTGAGACTGGGGTGAGGGCTCATGTGCCCTATGTCCTCAGGGAATGGGGAAGAGTCATCACTGTCCACTTCCTGCACCTGACCCCCCGCGGCACGACAGGGTCCTCACAACAAGCTCTGGCCAAGGGGCGCACGCGTGATTCAGTTTCTGATCTTGCACTCAGTCTCCTCCCGAGCAAGATTCACACAGCGGAGCTAAGTAAATGTGGGTCTGCCTCTGCCCGTCTCAAACGTCTGAGCCCAGGCCAGGGCATTTCAATGGTAGAGTGCAGAGACCCCAAGGCGAGGCCTTGGAGAGGGACTCTGGGCTCCCAGTCACTGCTCCCCACTCCGCTTCCCAGCTGTGTGGATGGGACCCTTACTTGGCGCCTCAGTTTCCTCAATAGTAAAATGAGAGACAGTCACAAATGATGTCATGCTGGGTTGCTCTGAGAATGAAGGTTTGATGTCTCAAAGCACTGAGAGCAGGACCTGGCATTGGGTCAGTGCTACACAGACTCCATGGATAACTGCCTCGGGCTCATTGCCTGTGCTGAAGCCACACAGATCCCTGCCGCCCCTCACAAACCGCCCTGATTCTCACTGTTGTATTTCCATGCCTTCACAGGGACACCTAAATCCACAGCCACTCATGTACCTCAAGTGAAATGGTACAGGAGCAGCCTTGTGGCTTAAGCTGTGCCTGTGATGTTGACATCCTGTGTGCGAGCCCTGGCTGCTCTACTTCCGATCCAGCTCCCTGCTAGCGCACTCAGGGAGGCAGTGGACGACGGTCCAAGTGCTTAGGCTCCTGCCACGCAGGCTGGAGACCTGGAAGAAGCTTCTGGCTTCTGGCTTTGGCCTAGTCCAGACCTGGATACTGTGGCCAATTGGAGAATAAATAAAATAAAATGGGATACTATTTGCATTTAGCCTATGTAGATCCTCCTGTATACTTTAAGATATCTCTGGATTATTTGCCACACCTGGCAGACGGCAAATGCTATGTAAACAGCTGTTACACTGTGCGGCTCAGGGAATGGTGGCTATGCATTCAGATCAGAGGCAGTCCTCCTAGGCGTAAATCACACTGGTCAAGAAGGAGACCTGAGGCAAACGACACTCAGAGTCCTGTGACTGGCAGGGGCGACGACAGCGCATCCCAACATGGACAGCACTTCCTTCGCATGGATTCACTGGAGCGTTAGGCATGTGGCAAATTCCAATGGTGCTCTTTGGAACTTTCTAGAGTTGTTACCATTTTTGCCTTGCAGTGGGTGGGACCTATGGAATGTAGCACTGACTATATTTTCCAAACAGTTACCTCAGGCCCACAAAGCTAGATGACTCTCAGAAAACAAACAGAGCCTCCCTTCTTTTTATATTATCACTGACTTGGGCCCGCTCCGTGTAGGTGCTGTGGATGCTGGCTGCCCTGTCCACCTGCAGGACCAAAGTCCTCGTCACACGTGCTACAGGGAATCGACCAGTCCTCTGCAAAACTATATTCCCTATGGCCACACCCCTATACTGGCCTCCAAAGAATGCAACCAAGGTCCAAGCCCCTTGCTTCAGCTGGGAATGTTCATGACGGATGAGTCCAGCTCTGGAGCTCCCCTGGGGATGACCTGAACTGCTCTTGTGGCTGCTAGCCTGTTCCCTCACTCCATCCTATGCACTCACCCCCAAGAGAATGCTTTAGTTCATATCCTGCCCATGTATCTCTGAGCAATCTGGAAAAGTGAATTATCGTACCCATTTTACAGATGGGGAAAAACTGAGTCTTAGCTAAAATAATATCAAAGGATACATGGTCTACTCAGCTACCCTTGATTCCTTTTCCTTACATCCTGTGCAAATATAAAAATACACACTGAGACAAACTATTAATCAAATACAAAAGGAAAAAAACAGTTCTTTTCAGATACTAAAAAACTGAGAAATGGAGAAAATCTTTAGGGATGTACCCTGGGGTGGTAGGAGAGAGAAAACCAAAGACAGAATGAAATAAAATAATGGAATACTTTTAAAAAGTGGAGTTGATCCAGAAGTATCCTTAAAGTAAAGGTCAAGGATTGGTTTGTGGTATAGCAGATTGAGTCACTGCCTGCCACCCTTGCATCCCACACTAGAGAGCCATTTGGAGTTCCAGCTGCTTTGCTTATAACCAGCTTCTTGCTAACGCAGCAGGAGACAGCTCAAGTATTTCAGCTCCTGGCACTCTCATGGGAAGTCACAAAGGAGTTCCAGGCCAGGCCTGGCTATTGGGATCCCGTAGGGAGCGAGCCAACAGATGGATGGTCTCTCTCTCTCTCTCTCTCTCTCTCTCTCTCTTACTCACTCTTTCAAAGGAACAGGCTAAACACCACGTACAGCTCCAGAAGGCATGAGTCGGTGCTTTGATGTGAATCTGTTTTCCGTGGACCATTCTGTCTCGGAGGATTGTTTGACTCAAGTGCACAGCGTGCTTTGACAACACTCCCAAAGCTTTCCCCACGTGCTGTGCAACATGGCCAATGTCCCCTCTTTCACTTCACATTACGGCTAGGTAAGGGCCCTGGATACAGATGACAAAACAATGCAAAGCAGCCTTTGTCATGGGTCTCGGAGACCGAGAAGGGACAAGTACCAAATGGTGAAGGGTAGACCCAGACACAAGGTGGCAGGGGGGCTGCTCCAGGAAGAGGGCAGGGCAAGGCTGTGTAGGAGCCTGTAATGCCGAGATCTGGAAACTTGAGGCAGAGCAGCCCCCGCTGACCCCTCTGCACAAGGTCCGCTACTGCAGAAGGAGGGTCCCAGGGCTTCAAGGAAGGGCCAGCTCTGTACCCCTCAATCAGAGGGGCTCATCTCTACCATGCTCCTGCCCAACCACCTTCCTCCTTGCAGAGGGAATGCCCGTGAGCACCCTGGAGATGGCAAAGCCCAGTGCTTGCTGGGGGCAAATCAGCTGCCCCAGCCCCAGGGGCGCAGTCTGACCTCAGCCAGGCAGGCAAGGACACAGGTCTTCCCAGCCCAGCAACAGCAGCAGCAGCAGCAGCAGCAGCAGCAGCAGTGAACCCTTGAGTCCTGGGGGACCATCCCAGCTGCCGCCAGCCACTGACTTCACAGCGTCTTAATGACGCCAACCCAGCTGGGACCACCAGTCATTTGTCACCACAAAATGAGGACAGGTTCTTGCCACGTGCGGCGCCTTCGGCAGACTGAGAGATCTTCTGGACACAGTGAGGAAAAAAAAAAAAAAAAACCCAGCCCGGAGCCCAGGGAGAGCTGTTCTTCCTGCAGGTGACACTGCTGTTCTATCACAGGGTACCTCCCCTGCCACAGCCCCATGCTGGTTCCCTGGAGGGTGAGGGGTCCCAAGACATGGCAGGGCTCAGTTGGGCAGCTCTGGCTCCTGTGGCACAAGTAGCAGCCACCTGTACCTCACCCTTGGTCTCTTGAGACTCAAAAGGCTGTGAAACCTGAGGGACCACAAGCTATTCCCAGCCCTGGGTTTCTCAATTCCTACCACCTCCACCTGCTCCTGGACAGGCACCCCTTCTCTGCTTCTCTTCCTCTGCCATCCCTCAGCCACCATCTTGCCCACCCCCTCACAGGACTCAGCCCTTCCCTGCTCCGGGCATGTTACATGGTAAGCCTGCCAGCCCTGTGAGCTCCAGGTCACCCGGTGCCAGAGGAGAATGGGGAGGTCTCCTCCCCACTTGCTCTGCCTGTCTTGTCTTCCCTCCACAAACAAGTGAACTCTCCTTCACAGGGGACAGCAGCCAGAGAGGCCTCGCTGTGCCTCTCCCCACCACAGGGATGTCCAAGCCTTCCCCTCCCTCCCCTTCCACAGGAAGTGACAGATGTCCCCTCCACAGGCATGCATGTGCACACATACACATATGCACACACATATGCACATTTATCTTCCTCCCTTCCACGCCCTCATCCCTGCAGCCCCAGGAACATTGACACTGACACGGCCAGAGCTCCTTCCTGGCTGCCTCCTCCTTCTCTGACCTCACTTAGCTCCTCCCCGTCTCAATCAGACAGACAGGAAGCCTCATGGACGGAGGGCAGCAGTCTCTGCATTTGACTTCAGCCTCTGTTCCACCTCCTCTCTACTCCTCTCAGCCTCTGCCAATGCCCGGCCCTCCACTCCCCTCCCTGCAACCATAGGCTCGCCGGGCCCACACTCAGCCTTTGGGGTGCCACTGGGGGTCCCTGGGCATCTGCAGTCTGGTGTGAGAACTGCCATGACATCCTCTGCACAGCTCTCTGAGGGCAAGGATCCGGGCTTTGCCCAAGACACTTCCTCCTCTTCCGGCCATCGCTCCCCACGTCCAGCCTGGGGCCCAGGGGTACAGTGCCCACTCCACCACCTCTCTGAGCACACTCATCCCTCTCCAGCCTGTCCCGGGTCTCAAGCCCCGCCTGCTCTCTGACAGCAGCTCAGTCACTCAGGGCTCTAGGCCACCCTGGTGCTGCATGCCTCCCGTCACCACGG